CCCCACCCCTGTGGACAAGGCGTAGGGAGCCGATCCCTGGCCCTGCTGCTCGACCCCTCACTGCAAAAGTGCAGGGCAGAGAACTGGGGTGCAGCTCAGTGGAAGAACTTGCCTAGCGTGCATAATCACGGGGTTCATCCCTAGTCCCCCCCTTAAAAAAAAAAAGAGGTAACAGTGCAGACCGATGAGGCCCACATCTCTCGTGGGACCCCTTGGGCGATGCGGACCCTCGACCTCTGCTCCAAGTCCAGAGCAAACTCTTGTTCTCCAAGATCGTGTTTAATATTTAAACAATATGTGATTCCGTGAACTTAGGAAAGTCTTGGGTCTAAGTTTGGGTAGTGGGGGCGCGGGCTCACCGGATTACCCGGGTCAAGGAGCACCCCTGGTGTGTACAGTAAGCACCAAATTGTTATTGCTTGCCACGTGAGCGTTCAGCACTCAGACCCCATCAATTTGCTGGTGAAGTCCCAGGGCCTGTGGTTTCATCCAAAGCGCTTGCTGCTGCATTTGGGGAGAATACCGCGGTGCTCCGGAGAGTCCCAGGAAGACACCCAGAGCCCTGCCCCCGCAACGGGCTGAAGGCTTAGGGCGTCTCTGAGGACGGTCCCAGCGGAATTCCTCCCCGTCGTGGATCCGTCCGGTCCTCGATCATTCACCCAAGGAACGTTCTAGACCTGCCTGCCCAGGGGCCATGGCTCTTCCTGCGGCGCTTTTAAGGACTGGACGTCCGGGTCAGGTGACACCGTCGCCTAGCAACAGGACGCTGCGCCCGCCGCCTGGGCTTCTCCTGCCCAAAGCCAGCTTCTGCTAGAGGCCAAATGTCGGAGGAAAACCCCCCGGAGTGCGCAGAGCCCGCTGAGTCGAAGGCCGAGACGCCCCCGGAGAAAACCAGCGACTACTATCGCGTGAGCCCCCACCTGCCGGTCAGGTTCAACAACCCGGGGTGGTTTCGCGGCTACGGGTAAGGAAGCAGGGCTGGTCCGGGTCCACCGTACAGGCACACGGAGAGGCCCTGCCTCGGATGCACGTGCCGTGCCACAGCTGGTTCTGGGGCTGGGCTCAGGTAGTCCTGGATGAGAAACCCCACCCTCCCCAAAGACCCTCAACTTCCTGCTACGGAAGTCAAAAGGAGCCTGAACTCTGCCTGAGCCTTGCTATCATTACCAGCAGTGAGCTCCTCAGACTGCCCGTCCATGGTCAGTACGGTGGGGGATTGTGGGGGATTGTGGAGACCCTGCGGAAAGAAAAAACTCATTCTGGTTCCAGTTCCACAATCTTGTGCCCCGGGGTCTCCTCTCCTCCCCTCCTGCAAATGTAAGATGTCAGCTCTGCTGTGGGGACTGTCCCAGGGCCCTGAGGCTCAAGGACATAACTGGAATCTGAATTGCTGCAGGGGAGGTGAGGCACCCTCTGCCCCCACAGTTTCCTGTGCCCCATTCTCGGTGGAGACCACTGCCACCTAGAGACAACTCTCCCAGGCCTCTAGTGTGGAGTTCAGCTGCAGCCTATAGTAGGCAGGTGGTGTTCCCTGGCCACATTCCTTCTTCTGCACCTGGGCATCCTGAGAGTGAACTTGCAGCCAGGGACCCCCGGAGGCAGGGTCTGATGCTGACCTGTGGCTCCCAGCAGGGTAACGAACCTACCCAACCAGTAACAGTTCTACCAAGGTCTATCAGGAATTTGCTGGTGAAGTGCTGTTTAGGAGTTGGAAGGAGTAAGGATTGTGGCCAGCAGAGAAGGTCAGAGAGGCAGGCCTATCAGGGCTTCAGCCCTGTGTGTGATGGGGGCCAGTGAACACTGCTGTGTTACTGGCCCAGGCACACTGCTCTCCTTGGGGGCATTGCCAACAAAGCTCTATCAGGCAAATCCTGTAGGGCTGTGGCGTGGGCAGACTTTGAATGAACCAGGGGAACCATATCTGCTCTGCAGGGCCAAGGAGGTGGTCTCCCTGTACAGGACCAGTAACCAGGCTTACGGGAGCAGAGCACCCACTGTGCATGAGATGCCGGTAAGTGGGAAGCAAGTGGCATTTGGGGATGTGTCTATAAGAGAACAAGCCTTCGAAAAGGCAGCACATCGTGAGGGTGAGGGGTAGAGATGGGGGACCCCAAGGCATCTCAGACCATGTTGGAGCAGGGAGGAATAGAAAGAGGTGAGTGGATGGACTCTCGAGAAAAATGTCTTCAAAAACGGGAGGAGTGCAGGGTGTGCTTTTTCATTGTCCTTGTCCCCATGGATAAAACCACGCCTGCAGGTGCCATCACAGGTGCACACAGCCATTTCCCCAGGCGGTCAGTTCTGAGGCAGGTGACTGAAGAACTCCTTTCTCTCTGGTCTTAAACCTTGTGTGAAGCCCTCACCTGTGACCGAGAGGCAGCACTGGCCAGGAGCCGAGGCTGCAGGAACTGGGTGCGTGGGCAGGCACAGGGTGGTGCTTCTATGGGAACTGCCAGACAGGCCTGCGTAGCAGCCCTGCATCCCCAGGTCACCAGGGTCACTGTTTGGGGTGAGAATGTCATGGGGCCCCCATCCCCATGGTGTGAGAAGGCCTGGGAGTCACTGCTTTGGTGGCGGTGTGAATAACAGAGCTCTTGGGAGAAAATCATTTGCCAAAAACGTTTCTGGGACACTCAGGAGTCACCCTCCTGGAATCAAGGACTCTGATGTTCCCCTGGGGCTCAGTCATTTTGATGAAAAGGAGACACATTCAAGGGGATACAGATGTTTCAACTTTAAAAAAAAATGCTATTTAAAAAAATGCTCCTCTCGTAAACTGTGAGTTCTGCATCCACCGGTGCCACCTGGCCACGGGTTATGGAGCACCAGAGGATAGAGACAAGTTTCTGCTTTTTGTGGTGCTGGGGATCAGACCAGGGCCTTGGGCATGCAAGGCAAGGACTCTCCCAGCTGGGCTGTGTCCCAGCCCCAGGGTGAGTTTTGAGGGAGGTCTTCCTACTTCTCCACACGGGCGGTCTAGCCCATTTTTCACCTTCTGGACCAAATGTGGAGGCTGGACTCCTTCAGCAGCTGGTGATCACCTTCCTTGTCTGGGCAGAAATGAAGGTGCTTTGCATCTTTCTAAATTGCAGGGAAGGGATTTATGTGACAGGGATGGTGGGTACATGTGTCAAACCCACAGAAGGGTCTGGAGAGGGAGCCTGAGGCACACTGCGGACTTTGGTTGATGACAAAGTATCAATTCTGGCTCACTCGTACAGAGGGGCCACCGTGAGGGGACGTTCCCAGGTTAGCTGTGCTTTGCCGTGGCCAACATGACCTGCAGGACAACTTAGAGGAGCAAAAGTTGATGTTAGCTCATGGTTTCAGAGGTTCGATCCATGGTTGGCCAGCTCCATGGCTCTGGGCCTGAGACAGAAGATCATGATGGAAGGAAGTGCCAAAGGAGAGCTGGTGGGCTCATGGCAGCCGGGAAGCAGAGAGGAGCCAGGAGAAAACACAGTTCCTAGGGACACACCCCAGTGACCTATTTCCTGTCACCTCACCCCATTCCCACCTGGAAGTGCATTCAATCTATGAATCCATGGAATGGATTAATCCACTGGGTCACAGCTCTCATGATCCCATAATGTCACCATGGAACATCCCTGCAGTCTCACGTGAACTTTTGGGGGACACCTTGTGTCCAACCCATAGCAAGGGGGAACTGTGTGTACTGGTGGGAGGCAATTTGGCAACTCCCTGTAGTTTCAGCTCAGCTTTCTGTAGATCTAGATCTTCTCTTTAAAGTCTTTTAAAAATGTACAGAAGCTTCTTGCACTTGCTTCCTGCCAAGGAATCAAAACACGGACGGTGAAGGATGGTCACCTATCTAGGGTATAACACCGGGTGGAGGGGTCTCAGGGCCACCTGATGATGCCATCCTGCTGGGCCATTCCTGCCAATGGCCTTGGTGGGCGCCCCTCCCACCTGGTGGTTGGGGGTGTGGGTACTGGACAGTTTTAGAGCTCTGCAGATGGTTTTGATTCAGTTTGTGTGAATTCCCCAGAATCCGTGTGTTAAAGGATGGTCGCAGGTGCACTGCTGGAAAGGGCAGAACCGTTAGGAGGTGGGGTCCTACCGGAGACCTTCAGGTCCCTGGAGGGGGCCTCTGAAAAGGGTCCCATCTCCTGCTGCCTGGCTCCTGATGTGAGCAGCTTGTTCTGCCCATGCTCCTGACCATCAACATCCTGCACCCCCACCAGAGGCCCAAAGCAATGGGTCTGCCTCGTCATGGACCGGAATTCCAGAAAAGTGAGCTGGAATAATCCTTTCCTCTTTCTAAGTTAGTCATCTCATGTATTTTGTTAGTACATCACAAAACTGACCAATACACCTACTGACAGACGTTATTTTATTCCACAGAACACTGAGGTTCAGAGAGGTCCAGTAACTTGTGCAGCACAGCACAGTTGGGCAAAGCCGACCTGAGGGCCAATCCAGACTTTCTAATGCTCATGGTCACACACAGATGTGAAAATACCTCAGTGAGGTGGCCCCATATCTTCTTCTTCCTCCTAGGTGATGGTGAAAGAAATCTCAGATAACAAGTGCCCCAGACACCAGGCGTAATCACGGTGCTCAGAGCCCCACCCTGGTCTCTCAGCTTCTGAGGGATGGAGATGGCATTTTTCTTTCAAATTCTTCTTCCAGAATTGCCTGCCTGCCTGCTCTGGAGGACGACTGGGGGCACTGATCCTCACGTTCTCTTCTCTCTCCCAGAAGGTGTTTTATCCATGTTCCACCAAGTTCTCCAGACACATTTTAGCGAGTGAGAAGTTCCAGCACAGTGCTTTCAACGTCTGCATGGAGAAGAGCCTGGTGACGGGCCCCGACAACTACATCACCCACTGCGACCGGCTCAACTTCCACCCCAGTTACAACGCCAGGAAGCCGTCCATCTGTGACTGAGGGGGCCCAATGCCCCTGCCTTCCCATCTGGCCGCTGCCCCCTGGAGCATGGTGCTCCCTGATCTTTGACGGTTTGCCCAACTCTGAAGGTGCAGATTTCACTGTTTTCTCTGAAAATACTTTTCCTTTCTGGAATAGAAAAGTGTGCAATAGGCTTGGTGCTGTTTTTTTCTATTTTACGTCTAAACACACACAGAAAAACTGTATGACTTGGCTTCCCACGAAAACGCTGCCCCGGCCCGTTTCCAACTCTTCTGACGTCTGTGATGAAGGTGCAGGCTGTGGGTGTCCTGGGACCCTATCTGTCCTGAAGGCTGGGAAGGCTTGGGCAGCCCACTGGGGTCTTCTGGGGCGGGGCGGGGGGGGGCACTGTGACACACATTACCAGCTGGGCCCCCACGGCATGGCCCTGGGCAACGTGGGCCAACCCTCCCTGGGTGTGGCGTAGACGGGACCAGGACTCGAGAAGAGCAGCACCTCTTTAGCAGAGCTCAAGAGGGTATCACTGGATCTGTTCAAGGTGAACATCCTGAAGCCATGAATCAGGGCCAGGCGGGGGCAGAGGTGGACCAGGGTGGGCCACCCTCAGTCTTTGGGTGACAGGGTTCTCTGTATTCATTTAAAAATTTCAATAAAAAGTGAAGGCAGTCGGGGAATAACCAGTATTTTCCTGAGGTAGGGGAAATAACTAAATTGATCTTTATATCTCTGAGGTCCCAAATCAGTGTTTACCATGGCCATAAGGTCTGCAGTAAGAAAAACATCTGTTTCTTCTTTCTGCAACAGGATAGGTCTTTCACACAGTTTTACTTCCTTCCTAAGAGTCAGGGAATTTGGGAAATACGGGATCTGAAAAGACGACACTGTCACATGCCAGCCATAAGAGCTGCTTCACAGCACATTTGCCGCAGGGACCCTCTTCCTTTGTAAGTAAGGGAGAAACTGGACCTTACAGCTGGCTGATTCTTCAGGATGCACGTACCACTGTTAAAACACAAAAGGGAGCATCCAGCAGCATCTGAACGTCCAGTAGGGATTGGAAGTGGTTTCCAGGGAAAATCAATGTGGTCAGGAGGAAAGATAGACAGCCGTGCCTGAAGATGGGTCTGAGCTGGAAAACCCACAGTTCAGTGTCAGACCGAAAGTACGTTTTACAGTCTTTAAAAATGTCCCAATGCTAAGAACCCTTCTGAGTTTGGCCTCCACTCAAGTAAAAAGGTGAGGCTGCTCGGCCTCGCCAGCCAGGTTTCTAACTTGCTAGCAGGGACTGAACCAAGCCTCCTGGTGATTCCAAGGAGCAGGCTGGCAAGTCCAGGTGCCACAGCACAGCTGTCCAGGAAAACAGGCCACTGGGAAAGCCACGGCACTTGACCACACCCCCGATTCCAGGCTGAGGGCAACGTGGGGGCCCAGGCTGGGGTTAGGGGTCTGCAAATGATGTGTGGCGGTCCAGGTCTGAACTCACCCGCAAGCTTCACGGATTTGACTGTGGCATCACAACTGGGCACAGAAATGCTTCACTGGCTGTGCCCAATGAGTGTGGCTTGTTAACAGCTGCTGTATGAACGCAAAGTTGGACTCCACAGATTATTCTAAATAACTGCCTGAAAAGACTAAAGCCCCAGATAATTCCAATCTAACTCACGTTTTGTCTTCGTCTGTTTTCTGTTGCTTTAACAAAATGCCTGATGCTGGGAGACTTATAAAGAATAGAGGTTTACTTGACTCATAGTTTTAGAGGTTTATGTCCAGTGTGTGAAAACTAGTGAGCCTGTGGGAACAGAATCACTGTCACCTGATTCTGAGGGGCCTGAGTGGTTGCTGAAAGCGTAAACAGGAGGTTAGGAGGCAACTTCCATCATCTCAGGAGCAAGACTGGAACCCACACGAGGAGCCAGAGGACGCCTGCACAGCTCACCCACGCTCCTCCATCGTCAGGGCCATCTTCCAGCATGCAGACAAGCCACTCCCCCTGGTGACCACAAAGCCTGGCCCCAGAGGCAGCAGGGGGCAGCTGAGCAGGGGGCCTGAGGATAGCAGCAGGAGTGACCACGAAGGATGGGGTTCTGAAGCGTGCTCCCCAGCACACACGTGGCCTGCTGCGCTGTGCACCAGTGTGCCTGGCCTGTCACCGGAGGCAATGCCACACCCGCATGGGCCTGTACCTGTGTCTACACCCGTACCTGCGCCTACCTGCGTGCACACGTGGGACGTGTCGATCACAGCTGACGGCAGTGTTTTCGAGGTGCTGTCTCCCCAGGGTGGCAGCAGCTCTAGCCTGCGCTGTGCGGGGGCTTGGTGCAGAGGACCCCAACCTCCAGTGAAAGCGAGCCAGGCTCCCGGGTGAGGGAGAGGCTGGACACTGGCCTCGCCAGGCAGGGGCTGGCAGCAGAGTGGAGAGGACCTCAGGGCTAAGTGCAGGGTCCGGCCCCTCAGGGTCCTCGCGCCAGCACACGGCACAGGCCAGGCCCTCGCTTAGACTGCAGTGAGGACAGACCACATGACCACAAGAGGTGACTTGTTGGTGATGCTTGATTTATTCATTAAAAAAAAGTTCTTATGTACAAAATGAGCTGATGTTTGTATCCAGGAGTTAAAAGCACTCTTTAAAAAGTTAAATAAAAGTCAGGACATGGATTACATGGAGCGCTTAAGTGAAGGAACACGCCACAAGGAAGCTATCACACGCACATCGGGATGCTCAGGACCGCAGCTTGGCCCAGCAGAGGCTCACCCTGGGTGGGGTCTGCCCCTGGGCACAGAAGTGGGTTCCTATTTACACCCGGGGGGTATAGGGGGCATAGAAGACTCACATCCACATTAGAGTACCAACATCACCGGCTAACGGTACACCGCCTCACAGCTGAACCCGAGTTGCAGAACTTGGGGTGACTGGAGGGCATCAGTGGCCAGCATGGCCTGTCCCCACAGTGGCCATGGGTACCTTGGTGCCACCGGGCAGAAGGTGAGGAAACCAAGGCAGCAGCATCACTTGGCCCTGACCCAGGGACCAGAGGCCATGGCCTACAACCAGCGCCCTTCTGCCCCAGGAGGTGGGCTGCAGGAGGTCATCGGCAGCACTGGCTCGGCCACTGGTCAGACCCTGACTGGCTGCAGCTCCTGGACGGCAGGTATGGAGGTATGCAAGGCTTGTCCCCAGCACTGAGCTCTGGCCAAGGTGTCTGGGGACCAAACCACCTGATTGCTGTGCTTATTCACTCGTGTGCACAAATCAAGAAGAGGACAGTTAAACGCTCATACGGTGTGATCTCTTGGACCCACGATCGAGAGGACAGAACTTCCAGGAAAAGAGATTTACTTAGATGTTAGAATCACCTGGTGACTGCAGGAGCCTGGACACTAGAGGACTGGGCTGCAGAGTGTGCCACTGTCTCAGTGGGGTCTCGCGAGGCCAGGACTGGCCAGTCAGTTCACTTGCTGGCCACTGTGCTTTGAAACATTTTACTGACCCAAGCTGTGATGGCAGTGTTGAGAGGAACTGCTCTGGCTGCTAGGGACCAGTGGGTTCTTTATTGAAAGCACTATTCCGGGAGCTTCGGACAGACACGGGCATTTCAGGGCTTCCCAGAGGGTGGCCACTGCCTCCCAGGCTTGAACATCTAAACCAGCAACTGGCTAGAGTCCTGGCCAAGGTGACCCTCGCTGTGACAGTAAGAACCAAAATGTGTGCTCATCTGTGGCTCCATGCAGACCCAGAACGCTGCAGTTAGGAACACCCTTCAAAATCAAGACGACATTTTCCAAAAATATTTTTTACAGCACTTTAAATAATTTACAAAAAGCTACAAAAATCATATTTACCAGGACACGTCTGTTAAATAAACCTCCTGTTAGTGTACACATATACAGGGCTATGTACAGGACACTGGCTGCACTCTCCTGCGCACGCGGATCTGCACCAGGGGCGGGCCAGGCTGCACGTCACAGCTTGAGGACTCTGCCCTTCGCCACTGAGCCACGGTCCTCCAGGGAGCTGTCGCTGCATTCACTGGCATCGCTGCCCAGCACCTCCTGGTCCTGGTCATCCCTGTCCACCACCCTGTGGCCATACCTCAGGTCCAGGATGCCTTCCTCTGAGCCCAAGTTCCTCTTGTCCTGCAAACCGAGCCCTGCCCGGGCTTTCCTGCTTGGCCAGTGCCCACTGTCCTTCACGAGCAAGTGTGGGCTTCCAAACACGGGGCTGTGACCAGCCTGGGTCTCTCTGAAGGCCGAGAAGGACGGGCCCTGCAGAGGCAGACCCAGGTGGGGACTGAAGAGGCCGGCCTGCTGGCCTCCCCAGGGGACGCTCTTCCCAAAGTGGAACAGCTGGGTGGACAGCAGGGGAGAGAAGCCTGGAAAGGACAGGTTCTTCCTGGGGTCCAAGGTGAGGCTGTGCGGGACCCTGGCCTGCCCCTGGGTCCCCTTCTCTTTCTCACCCCCAAGGCCCCCGGTCCATGCTGAACTCCGACCTTCTGAATTCAGAGACCATGGGCTGGGCAGCCTGCTGTGGTGGGCCAGGTCACTCCAGGGGAGGGCCAGCTCGGCCTGAGGTCCCGGGTTAGGGGACAATAAGCTCCGGCTCCCATAGTTGACATGAAAGGTTCCCCCGGAGCTTCCGGTCTCAGCTCCCGCTGTGGCACAGCTGGGCAGCTGACCAAAAGCACTTTCTGTGGCTGCGGGCTCAGCGCGGGGTGGGCTCTGGTCTTTGTGAACATAGACGTTTCTCCTACTCGCAGGACACCCTTTGGCAGAGGGGTTCCCACTGGCACTCCTGGGCAGGGTGGGCTCACACCTGCCTGCAGCAGCCGGGTGGTGGGAAGTGTGCTCGGTGCGGGCTGCGCCCTTCCCGCCGGGGATGAAGAGGCTGGGGGCACCCGGTCCCCCAGCCTTCTCTGTGCCTCTTAGTCCTTCAGCCAGTGGAGGGCCGCCCCTGGCCCTCTGGCTCCGTGTGCACACGCCGGGCTGCAGACTGGGGGCCAGCTCCTTCCTGCAGGGCTCCTCCGGCCGGGCTGGGCCCCCTCCTTGAACCACTGAACTGCTCACGGACTCCTTAGCCTTTTCTGCCAAAAACTTTCTAATCTCCAGTTCGATGCTGTCGTCACTGTCCACTGAACTGTCCTCAGACAGGGAGCTGGGGGCAGAGCACGCATGGTCA